ATATACTATTTTCAGAAAGTGAAATTCAACTGCAGTGAGGAGAGCCAGCACAAAGCTACCTGCACTTTTCAGGCTCCATGTAGAAGCTGTGCTAAACCCAGAGTGTTACATAGAGGAGTGACTGCCTATCATACCGTCAGAGATTTTTGTTTTCTTTGATTTATTTTATTTATTTATTTATTTATTTTACTTTATGAATAATCTTGAAATGAAAAGTCTCTGATTACTGCTTTTCACTTCATAGGGCTGTAGTCTTGGATGGGACAGTACTTTACATATTTTATATTTCGGCAAAAGGTAAGACAATATGGTAATGTTTTCATGGGCTTAAAAAATTGCATAAACTATGCTTTCAAAATCAGGTTAAAAACTGAAATGTGAAAAGTAAACAAAGCCCCAAAATGTCTCTCCCTTCTAGCTGGGGTGGGCCCATGGATGGGATAGTTGCAGTGGAAAGGGAGGTCTTGGCCAGAAGCAGCGGAAGTAGTATTCTGTGTGTTCCCTCATGCAATGGCCCTTCGCCTATGGTGGGGAGGACAGCTCTTTCACCATATATTTTCCCCCACCCCCTCTTCATGCTTTGGTGCATAAGGGTTTGGGGGGGGGGTCACATAGATCCAGATGTTTGCTTTTGCCACTGGGTTAAAGGAGTATGTTGCAAGCATGAGTGATTGGCTTCCCTCTGGTGGTTGGGAAGTAGAGGAAACCATTGCAAGCTCCTCTATCTCAGCCCCTCCCTTTCTTTAGTTGCTGGATCTCTGGTGATGTCCGGGGCTAGGGTTATTTTCAGTTTTGGGCTCCTCAAGAGGTTTTTTTGATCAACATCAGGTGTTCTGGTTTCAGATGAAGGGCTAAATTACAATAGTCACACCTTTGACAGTGTCCATTGCAGGTGGTGAGGTAGAAAAGGCCCTAAAAGTCTAGTAGGCTGCTTGGAGACTGGCCTGAAACCCTCACATTGGTTGGCGAGGGGGTATGCCTCTATGTCTTGTGTAACTTGCTGCTCCCCTTATATCATCTGTCTCTGCAGTGGGGCAGGCGAGAGAGTCAGCGCCCTGGCTATCAATTATGGATCTTTGGCTGGCCTGAGGGCGGAGTGGAGAATTGGCCGTCACACCACATGTATAATAAATTAGGGACCACTGGTTCCACCTGAGACCTACACTGGAACGTGCTTCCTGAGTGGTTTGGGGAGGTATTTATTATAATAAAGTAGCAGCCTCCTCATAATCACATTATTGTGTATGTCTCTCTTTGTTTCCACATGGATATCAAATATTCTTTTATAATTTTTCTTACTTGGCCATATGCCCAGCTCTGTGAGGTACAAAGTAATTTTTCTCCCACTGAATTCAGTGGGAGATAGGAGCTGAAAGTGTTTATCCACCTCACTGGAAGTATGCAGCAACTCTCTGGATTGAACGGATGTGTGCAAGTTATTTGTCATAAAACGTAAAGGAACTTGACATTCAAACAAAATGGACCCATTTTTAATCAGACTGTGAAAGTTTGCACTTGCACAAACTATTGATACAAACATAAGCATGGTGAATTTGTGAATATTTTTTTTCAATGTTGCTTATAATAACTTGTCAGTGTCACAAAGTTTGTTTGTTTTTCAAAAAAAGAGTAGTTATATTTTCCCTTCCTAAGGCTAAGATGGTTGTGGTGCTTGTCTGCCATCTTTGAGGTAGTGATCCCTGGTAGCCAGAATTACCTTTTGGGGCAGGAGGTAGAACAGCTGTGAATGGCCCCAGGATTGGTAAGATACAAAAGTGACTGGGCGCCCCCTTTGCCTAAATTCTTTCTCTGCTTTCCTAAGTATATCTGTGCCACAACTAAGGTTCTTGCCTATTCCCTTCTAATGCTGAAGGAAAAGTTAGGAGGACTGCAGTCATTGTTGGAAGGCCTTACATCAGTCCCATAATCCCTGGATTTTATAGATTCATGAATGATGTCAGATAGGAGGAAGGTCTCAGGTAGTGTTCCACAGTGATCTGTTCTGGGTCTGGTGCTATTTGATATCTTCATTAATAACCTGGTATCACAATAGAAAGCATAGTGATCAAATCTGCAGATGACACAAAAGTGGGGGGATGCCAATACTTTTGAGGTTAGAACTAAAATCCACAGAGATCTTGACAAATTGGAGAACTGGGCTATAGACAACAAAAAATAATTCAACAAAGAAAATTGTAAGATGCTACAATAGGGAAGAAAAACCAAAAGCACAAATACTGAACTGGGGATTACTGCCTTTGGCAGCAGCACTGCTGAGAGGGATCTGGGAGTTGCGGAGTGTCACAACCACAACATGAGTCAATAATGTGATGCTGTTGTTAAAAAAGCAAATACAGTTTGGGGTTGCATTAAACAGGGTCATGGTATGCTAATCACAGGAAGTGCTAGTACCACTCTACTTGGTGCAGATCTCTGTTAGAATACTGGGTCCAGTTATGGCTACCAATGCATAGAAAGGATGAAAGAAACTGAAAAGAATCGAGAAGTAAGCAACAAAGAAAATCAAAAGGATGAAATGCAAGCCATATGAGTAAAGACTCAAGGAACTGGGTATGTTCAGTTTGGAAAAGAGATTCATTTGGGGAGATGATAGCGGTCTTCAAATACTTGAAAGACTGCCATGAAAAATGTTTGTCTTGACAAAAATGGTAGGCAAGAGACAAAGGATTCAAGCTACAGCATAGCATATTTAATTTCAATTTCAAGAAAAAATGTCTAAGTGTAAGAACAATAGGACAATGGAACAGATTGCCTAGGGAGGTTGTGGAAGCTCCTTCACTGTAGGTTTTCAAAAGCAGTCTGGATAGCCATCTTTCTTGGATAGTTTAGACACAACTAATCCTGCATCTTAGCAGGAGGGCAGACTAGAAAATGACCCTTGTGGTCCCTTCTAATCCTGCGGATCTACATTTTCAGGGTTCCATTAAAAGTATGCCTTATTTCTAGTCTTAATTTGTCTAGATTCAACGTCCAGCCATTGACGCATGCTATACCTTTCTCTGATATATTGAAGAGTACAGTATTAGATAGGTACTCTTAGATGGTAATCAAGTCTTAACTTTCTCTTTGTTAAGTTAAATAAACTTAGTTCCTTGGGTCTATAACTATATGGCAGACTTTTCTAGA